GGGCGGGACTGAAACAGTATCAGTAGGTCTCACCGCTGTATAGACTTTTAAATTTGGTAAAAGGGAGTTGTACAGGTTATCCGCTTCTTTCGCTAATGCGCGGTAATCTGTTCTGTGGTGGGAGTTCGCCAGAAGAGCTCTAATAGGTTCTGGCAGCAGCTGTAAAAAATATGGCGAAAAAGAAAACACGGTTTGTGTTTTCCCAACCAAGCTAGCATTGTTTCCATCATCTCAGAGGGCCTGTTATCGCCCAGTTCTTTTATGCTCAATAAGGCTGCTGCTTTTTCTTCCTCTGATAAACTATAGACCTCTATAAGGAAAGACCTGAGTGTGTCGTACTTTTGACTTGAAGGGGTCACCAATGTAGCATGAAGAGACAAACACACAAGTAAGTCATTGCGGGACGAGACATATCATTCGTACATTCTAACCGAACAGCTTGGACACTTTCACTGAACTCTTACTCATGAACTCAAGCGCGACGTACTACACATAACAACAACACACCTCAACAATTTGGTCTAAGTTTAGTCGCCACAATCGCGTATCACGGTCTTTCTGCTGAAATGTTGTATTCTTCGCAGCCCGGGTTTGCCCTGACAGGCAAGGTTGTATGCCCCCCCCCCCTCTTTTCCTCCTAACCAAACACCGTACATAACGAGATACACTCAGCCAAAAAAGTGTCAGCGGAAGTCCGCTCATTTGTTTTGAAGCCCTCTTTCGTTTCTCCAGAAGATGAATAGGAATAGCACAGTTTTTTAGTTTCACTTTTATTGTCTTTCACACAAGTAGGATAACAACTCTGACTGTAAAGTCCGCACTTTTTCGAAGAGGGCTCCACCGAATTTTGATGACATTTTTTAAATTGGCTCAAAGAGAGGAGTGAACTATCTTGTCATACACGATCTTTGTCCTAACTAATCTAAATTGTGTCGTTGGGGACTTTAAAAAACAACAACACATCTACAACGGAGAAAAGAAAGTTCCATTACTAATGACCTCGTCGATTGAAGGTTTTCAGAAAATCTAAGATAAAAGGGAGGTTGCTAAACATTCACCTTTCGAGGATGCTCCCCTTCAAAAGTAAACCCAACACACTTTATCACTTCCATAATATACCCTTTGGCCATTTAAAAAGACACGAGACCATTATGGAAGAGGTACTTTAAGGAAGGATGTGGGGCAGGAGAGCAAGGGACAGACAAAGAGTAACATGGACGGACAACATAAAAACGTTGAGTGGCCTGGACATGGCAGAATGTGCAACGGGAGATCGCGACCGTGAAGGGTGGAGGGAAATTGCACGACAACCTTTGAGTCAGACATGACACCTCCTGGTGGGGAATATACCATTAGTTAAAGTCATACACGTTTTGATCTCTGTGGGAAGCCGCCACTGCTAGCTGCTGTCTTACAGGCATCGGGATTATGATAATAGTAAGTAATAAATAGCATTTGTATAGCGGGTATCCTCGCTCGACAGCTAGCTCTATGCGCTTTACGCATTTTTATTACTACCCCAGCAGACAATAAAACACTTAGAAATATTCTCAGTTTCCTGGGAAGAATTTAGTGCAAGCAGCTGATTAAGCGCTCAAACTCAAACGCACATAAACTGATAAGATCTTTCACTGTCTATAGCTGGGTACCCATTCCCACCTGGGTGAAGTGAGGAAAATTCTCGTAAAGTGCCTTTCCCGATGATACAACGTCGGGCTCCTGACGGGATTCGAACCCACGACTTTACGGTTGCGAGTCTGAGAGCTTAACAACTAAGCCACCAACGTCACTAGATGCTACACGTAACATCCTAATGAGTCCATTTACCGCCTTAATTGGAATTCATGCAGTATGTTTTAACACCCCCTCACACCCCACACTCTCCCCCCCAAAAAAAATTTAAAAAATGAAAAGAGCTAGATAGAAAACGAATCTAAAACGAAGGTCTCCAATATAAGTTCTGGGGCAATATTTTTGTGTAGACTCCCGCAAAATATTTGTACACCCCCCCCCCCCCCCCCCAACCTTCCCTCCCTCCCCGTGAGTGCTCATGAAGAAGGAAAAAAGAGAAAAAGAGAAAAAGGAAAGACAGAAAACGTGTGCAAAACAAAAACCACAGTCATACAGGTAACGTATTTAATTACGGTAATTGATTTTCTGAAACGTGGTCTAAACCCAATGTACTTTGGTGAGTGTATTTTAGAAAATGAGGACGTACCTAAACCTTTGTCGACCTAACCGGACTAAAAAGTGTGTTTGGTAAAAGTTTAAAAGTTTTACGCTGGAGTTTTATCTAAAAGACAGTATTTCCAGTTTTGGACGAAACTGAGTTGTCGATTCCATCTGATAGTTTAAAACACGACTCACGTTTCTGCCTTAGTCTAGTGTCGATTTCTAAATAAGTAAAGCGGGCAAAGCGTTTTGAAGATATTTAATTAAAGAGACTGGCTACTGGGAGGCAAAAATTTAAGGTTTTTTTTTTTAATTTCAAAGAAAATTTTTGGCTCTCCTGTTTACGACACTGGATATTCTTGGGGTTTTGTAAAAAATAAAACTCCAGGACGGCCCTCAATTTTTTTTAAAAGAAAAAGACAAGACCAAACAAAGTGAAAAGACAGTACCCGTTGTCACGGCCCGGTTGGGCTTTGCACAACTAGACTGGTGACATCAGTGACCTTTTGGGGGAACGGGTAAACGGGTGAAAGGGTGACTCACCTCACGTCTCCTCCGCGGGGTGGTTTGTGGTGTGTGTGTAGGGGGGGGGGGATCAACTTAGGCATTTAGCGTGAGTTGTATAAGTGTTGGATCTGTTTCATCTCTTAGTTTAGTAGGAGTTTTACGGCACTTGCAACACAATAAGGTGATGTAAGTCTTCATGCCGAAGATTGGAGGCGTTTCAAGAGAGTGACAAACACAAAAAGGTGGAGAGATCAGGACAACAGATATTTTTTTTAGGAAAGAACGAGCAGGCCTCAACAAAGCACCGGTCAACCACTTACAAGTGTTCTGCATTCGTGTTGGAGAGTTGGGGGTATGATGGGAGTTGGGGAAAAACACCAGAGAGTGTGCGTGTTGTTGTTGTTTTTTCTCTTCTGTTTTTTTAAAAATGGTGGTGAGTGACTAAGTAACAGCTTGAGGCAGAAACACAGAGAGGAGGGGACAGGAGAGAGAGACAAAGAGAGAGAAGGAGAGAGAGAAGGAGAGAGTGAAAGAATTGAAAGGGAGAGAGAGAGAGAAGGAGAGAGACAGAAAGAGAGAGAGAGAAGGAGAGAGAAAGAAAGGGAGAGAGGGGGGAGGGAGAGAAAGACAGAGACAAAGACAGAGAGACACAGTCACAGAGAACGACGGGGAGAGAGGGGCAAGGGAGAAGAAGAAGGATCAGATAGATAGATAGATAGATAGATAGATAGATAGATAGATAGATAGATAGATAGATAGATAGATAGATAGATAGATCGATAGATAGAGGGAAAAACAGACAGACAGAGGGAAAATCAGACAGACAGACAGACAGACAGACAGACAGACAGACAGACAGAGAGACAGACAGACAGACAGACAGACAGACAGACAGACAGACAGACAGACAGACAGACAGACAGACGGGAACAAATATATGGGAGGCAGCGTGGTGAAATCAGGCACTTGTCAAAATAATGTAATTAAGGAAACCGGCATTTTTTAAGCCGTTGGGCAATTTTTCGAATTTGTGTTTTTCGGCTCAATACCTTTCATGTTCATTTAAGAACACATTTCATTTTGGATTTTAATCGAAAACGTTGATCAAAGGCACCAAAAATGTAAGTTTGCAGTTTCCAAGGACACTCAAGCTTATGAAGTCTCCAAACTTTGTATATAAATATATAAATATTTAT